TTTTGAACTTTATGTAAGTGGTATTATATAGTAGCTTTAATATATATTAACAGTTTTCTGAAGTGGTTGCACCAAATTACACTCCTGTCAATCATGTATGAGAGTTCCAGTCGTTCCCATCCTCACCAAGACTAGATAGGGTTCATTTTTTACAATTATAAAACTCTCAATTCAGAGGAAAAAATATGAAGTCTAGATCATTTACAAGAAGAAAATCAGTAAAAATCATACACAAGACTCCAACTATTTTGTTTGAATTTTTAATTTTTTTATCATGAATATGTTTTTACATACACAAAATTAGAGAAAATCATCTTTGTTTAATAATAGTTAATATTCTTCTACAATGCTTCAACTCTTTTTTGCTCACGTTAAAGTAAATTACAGATGTCAAGACATTTCAATCTAAACATTTTAGTATACATCTCTAAAAAGGAAGACTATTTTCCTACAGAATCACAGTAGTATTATGACATCTAACAAAATTTATAATTCCCTTATAACATCTAATATCTAATCTCTATTTGAATTTCCCCTACTTTTCCAAAAAATATTTTTGACAGTTGGTTTATTTAAACCACGATTTACTCAACGACCACACATTCCATTTGGTTATGTTTCTGAACTCATGCTCCATTCCTCTTTTTTAATGACATTGACTTGTTGAATGAACAAGGCCAATTGTCCTGTAGGATATCCAAGTTCTGGATTTACTTCCTTGTTTTCTCACAGTCTGATTAAATTTGCTCTTCTACTCCATGTATATCTTGTAATCTCAGAGTTAGATCAAGAACATTTCGTGGAGGGGCAATGACCTTCACATTGCATCACCCCAGGAGGCAAACACCATCTGGTATGTCACCATTAGCAATGCTAAGACTGATCACTGGGTTAAGATGGTGACCCCCATACATTTCCATTGTAAAATTATGTATTCATCCTTCCAATCTTTAATTAATCTGGAAGATTATTCCAACTATTTTTATATTAACAATAAAAGATATTTTTAAGGAACACTAAGATATAAAGTATGTCCTTGCAAAATTGTCAGGGAAGGTTTATCTACAGCATATATTTCTCCAACTTCCACCTCTTTGACTCTTCTTTTTCTTCTTGCCTCACACATCTTATGGCCCCTTCTTACTTCCTGGGTATATTGCGCTTCTAGACAGAAGATGACAATTGGGAAAGAAAGGTATACTGGAAGAATCCTGGCTCTAAACGTCTATATACAACCTCCACGAGTTGGAAAAAGAATATGAACATCCGGGGCGCCTGGGTGGCTCAGTCGTTAAGCAGCTGCCTTTGGCTCAGGTCATAATCCCCGGGTCCTGGGATCGAGCCCCTCACTGGGCTCTCTGCTCCGCGGGAAGCCTGCTTCTCCCTCTCCCACTCCCCCTGCTTGTGCTCCTGCTCTCGCTGTCTCTCTCTCTCTGTCAAATAAACAAATACAATCTTAAAAAAAAAAAAAGAATATGAACATCCTTTTGCATTTGTTGCCTGTTCAGTGGCCTTCATTCTCAATGTTTTACAAACATTGGCTATTAGAGCAACCGCTTTATCCACTTTCAACAAGGTTCTCTAAAAACAATTTATTTTACAAATGTGGAATAAGCTGTTAACTATTAAAAGTAGTTATTATTATTAGCCCCCCAAGAATATCACATCTGATGAGACCAATAATAATACAAGACATAATATCATAAAGAGGGTTGGGTTTTCTTTTTTGTTTTGTTTTGGGGGTTTTTGTTTTGTTTTGTTTTTAGCGTTTGTTTCAATAGTTTGGAAGAAGCCATAATAAGGAGGCAAGACTCTGATTCTGCCAATATATACATGAGCTGCACAATTACTCAGTGAACATTAGTCTCTTCAATGCACTGTTGTCAACCTCTGATGTTGTTTTATTGTCCCATGAGACATATTACTGGGTCTCAAGGGTAGAAAAGTGCTAGAAGAATATTAAGCCCAGAATGTGAAGGATAGACATTCACCATGTGCTGCGCAGCCTGGAAATTATTGTTTAATATTAATTTATTAGATGATTGCTGAGCCAAAAGGACATAATATCCATTATGTAAATGTTCAGTCATGGACACTGTGCCCCAATACTTATTAACTCCAGGCTGAATGTTGAATGGCTCGTATCCCAAACTAAACATGTTCAAATAGACAAGTACTTTGTCATGAAAAAGCAAGACCATTCAGTAACTAGTACGTTATGTCCTACAAATGAGAGAGTGCTTTTTCTTGAACAATATTAAAGGCTCAAGCCAGAAAAAAATGGGTACTGGGGGAAGAAGCAAATAATGTGATAGAAAAGGAAGAGCATGTCATTGCAACACATTAGCTCACATTTTGTCCCGCCTCTATTGCAACAAATGGCCTAAAGGTGCAGTGCAATTTTATGTGCAGAGGGCTTGTGATTATACTTTGTAAGTCTTTCAAGGGTTTAGAAAAGGAATTTTCCTCTGTAATGTTATGCCTGATAATAGATGACTTGTATAAATCATTGGTTTATCTGCTCACCTTAGCATTTTCAAAAATGAATTTGTGACTCTGTGATGCAATTCTTTGTGGAGTCTTGAGTTTTATACTGCTGACCTGACAACTTTTATATACAGTAGCCCACAGAGAAAAAGAGATTTTTCTATTTTATGAGTCTTCCTGTGACTCTGAGGGAGTCCCTGTCACAGAGAATTCTCTTCATTGCTTCAAAAACCTATAGATCCTTTAAATGACCAGCGTGGGTAGGACTTCTTGCCCCAGTTCTCATAACGAAGGCTTATCTTTCTTTTCAGATCCTAGTAGTTTTAGCATGGAACAGGTGTCTATGAAACGGTTGTTGAATGGATATGTGAGAAAATAAATTGTTGTAGCATGTCAATAAGTGCATGTGTTTTGGGCAAATCTTGAAGCTTAGGTGGTGAGACTGTAAAAGATTTGGCCATCTTAATTATTTCTTGAGCAACTGAAACTATTTCATCCTTCTGAGGATGGTTTTCTGTGATGGTGGGGATAGGATATATAAGCAGAGTGACCTAAGGGAGCGGTTTCTATAATTATGTTCTTTTGCTCTTATAAAGAACCACTTCATATGTGTGAATCTCATATGGCACAACATGCTTTCAGAAAACATGCAGCAACGTGTGACTTAACAAGAGAGAGTAGGCGTGAGAATTTTTATTGGTGAAGGAGTTGATTAGCAGAAAAAGCAGCTGGCTGTGTGATTTTGTTTCTCACAAATTTTCCAGGGAGGAGACTCCTGCCCCTGAAACAGAGTCCAGGACACCTGTTGTTTTGTCCCATGAAGACAACTGACTTCCTTTAGGCCACAAACCCCCGTGGCACCATCTTTTACTTCTGCAAGAAAACTCTTTCTTGTAATTTTCAGCTGGATCTCTCTGGGACTGACTGCCTCTTGTTTTTGCTGAGAGCCATTCCAACCATCTGCCACAGTTCACACCAGACCTTTAGGTCCTGGTCAGCTCTCCAGATTGGCCAGAATGGGAGAAAATGACCACTTCAGGAAGAGCCTACCTTGTCACAATCTACCCTAGTTGCGACGTAATTGCTACCTGCCCTGTACAAACCTCAGCACCCCATCTGCTTTGCTACACCTGACCACGTCCCTGGATGCCATCAACTTCTGGGCCTGCCATCCCTTGGTCGGTAACACTCTAGGAGCTCCACGGTGAAAAGTGTGCTTACCTCTTCAGGCCCATTTGGGCCCTACTGGTCAGCAGAGCAGGGGTGTTGGATTATGTGTTAGTTCTGTCCTTCATGTCTTGGATGTGATTATAATAAAATCACCAGTTTCTGGAGACCAGTCTTCCAAAAGCAGGCAGGAGGAGAGGAGAGAATGTAAATAAAGAGCCCCTGAATACCCAGAAATAAATGATGAATTTAAAAACCAAAGGCTTAAATATTATTTTTAAAAAAAATAATACTGCATAGTAAAAGAGAAACCTCTTGACAAGTGGCCAGGGTCTCTAAAAAGTGAATCTTTTGATGTGAGCCCAAAAGTAAGAAGCAATAGATAGGAGAAAAGCAGGCAGGGGGGACAAAATGGGGGAAAAATCAATAGAAATGAGCAGTAAAAGCAGTAGTGACATCAGTAAGATGAGGTGATGGTGGCAGTGAGAAGGGCCCTTGTGACCACTGGGAGAACCAGAGCAAATGGGTGGGGTTAGAGACTGAGGGGTCTCTCAGGCTCAGTCTTGAAGTCTTTGAGGAGAGAGCTGGGGCAGTCTGTTACTCCCATGGAAGACCTGAAAATATATCTCTACTTCACAGCATATAAAAAATAAATTCCACATGGATTAGAGAGTTTAATGTGAAAGACAAAACTTGAAACTTTTGGAGAAAAATATAGGATAAAATTTTTATGACTTCAGGGCAGGGGAGGATTTCTTAAACAAGTTATAAAAAGTGCGCAACGCTTACAGGAAAAGACTGATGTTTGGCTTCACCAAAATGAAGAATCTCTGTTCCTTGAAAGACATCAAAAAAGGAGGGTGGAAAGATAAGCCACCAACCAGAAGAAGGTATTTACAAGCTGTATAAATAAAGATGTTGTTCAAAATATTTAACAAGTATAACATAGCTATCACCAAGTAGAATGGGCGCCAATCATAATCTATTACAACAGCATCAGTGATTTCCAGCTGATATCACTATATATTACGAAGGATAAATAGCCACACTATCTAAACATACACAACACACACACACACACACACACACCCAACTTGGCATTACCCAGCATATTTGGATATGCACAGTATTTCCACTCCCAGATAAAAACCCTGGAAAAATTCTTGCCTGTGCATACCAGCGTACATGTACAAAACTGTCCTTTAAAGCATTGATTGTAAGAGAAAAACAGAAACAATTCAAATACCCCTTGATATTAAGATGGATAAATAATTCATGGTATTATCTATTTATACAGAGTAAGCTCTACATACGAAGGTGAAAACGAATGACCCATAGCCGTAGGCATGAGTCTCAGCAACATATCATCGAATGAAAAAGTAAGTCATAGAAGAATCTATACATTCACTCCATTTGTATAAAATAGAAAGCAGTGAAAACCAAATAACTCTTTAGGGACATGTGCAAAAAACAATAAAAATTAGGTCAAGAAACATAACGAGGATAGTGCCTAACCCTGGGGAGAACAGCATAGGGAAGGAGGAATAAGGTCTGGGAGGGCCACACAAAGCAACTCATAGATTGAGCGGAGAGACAGGGTGTTTTATTATTATTCAAATATACATATGTGCTATTATGCAAATATACATACAAATATTCAAATATACATATATGTACTTTAGAATGTCCACATTTAAAATTGTCCACATTTTATTTTTTTTAAGGATTTATTTATTTAGGGGAGGGAGGGGCAGAGGGAGAGGAACAAAGAGTCATTTAAGCAGACTCTCTGCTGAGCAAGGAGCCCTACACAAGGCTCGATCCCATGACCCATGAGATCACGACCTGACCTGAAACCAAGAGCCGGACGCTCAGCCGACTGAGTTACCCAAGCACCCCGAGAATTGTTCACATTTTGAGAATAAAAAAAGCAAAACAAAAAATAAAAGTGTGGTCATAGAAATGTAGATACAGTAGAAAACAGCAGTGCGTCAGTGGATCAGCCTAAAAACATGAGCAGTGTATGTACTCACTGACTTCAGAATACTACCTACCTCTGAGAAGGGGCAGGTAACAGATTAAGGATCGGGACAAAATGGACTTTGCCTGCATCTGTAAGATCTTCTTTCTTTAATAAATCTAGATTTATATCCAGATTAATGCTTGCTGCATTATTTCCTGTACTTTTCTTTATAGTTTGATAAAAAAGAAGTAGTTCCATTAAATAAAAGCCAAAGAGTTGATGTTCTGGCAACTGAATGGAGAAGCCTCAATGATTTAGAAACCTCACCTATCTGGACTGAGGTAAGCCAGAGAACAGGACTAAGGGGCGCCTGGGTGCCTCAGTCGGTTAAGCTTCTGCCTTCAGCTCGGGTCATGATCCCAGGATCCTGCTCAGTGGGGAGCCTGCTTCTCCCTCTCGTCTCTGGTCCCCTCTTGGTGCTCGCTTGTCTCACTCATGCTCTCTGTCACTATCTTTGTCTCTCTTTCTCTCTCAAATAAATAAATAAAACCTTTAAAAAGAGAGAGAGAGAACAGGAAGAAGGTGTATGGAAGTAAAGGGTAGTTCTACAGGGAATCACGTTTAAATGTAATATATAGATTACATCATCCCATACCTAGAGTCCTGATTTTAACAAAATTGCAGTTGATTGAATTCAAGAATTTTGTTTGTTTTACACATATTCTCTTGATCCAGAAAAACAAGCAAACATGGACATCATTTTAAAATTCTGATTTGCATTATTAGTTAAAATATATCCCCATTATCTAAAGTTTGCTTTATAACATTTTGATTATAATTTAGACTAAAAAAATTTTAAATTTTATTTAAAATTGTTCTTCCTATATTTTAAATAACGAAAATAATTTTTAGCTTTGTTCACTGGGTATTTTAGTATGTAATGCATGCAGCTATGTAACTATTTTTTAAGGCTAGAATTTCTCCATTTAAAATTAACATTCACAATTTTATGTAAAAAATTTAACACATTTGTTCAAAACTAACATAATTATTTTTAACTTAATTTAATTTAAATTTCTGGTCTTGACTATTTCATTGCTTTTATGAGACACTTTAAAGGTTAAATTATTTTCAATTAAATGGGTAAATCTATTAAAAATTTAAAATGAGTTTTAATGCTTAAGTAAGTTTACTTTCCAATAGATGACATTTTTAATCTTTTTGTATTCAAACACGGAGTAAACTGGCTTAATATAAGACACTCAAAATGCAAATTGATTTATTAAGCATAAAATTAACATTTACTGCATATCTATTAAAAATCAGCTTAAAAGTCTGTAAGGCAATTATTTCAGAATTATCATAAATTGAATAAAAACATGTAGACTCATGACTAGAAACATTCTTATAATGTTTTCAATTCCTTGCAAAAATTAGGTAAAGACAAATAAAGCTACTTGTATTACTCTACTAAACTAATATGTTTGAATTTTAGTTTTGATCTAGAACAGGGAGAAAGTCTGTAATGCTCTAAAGATTTGATTCATTTTGCATTTCTGTAAAATATTGGATTAATACTTTGTAACTGATTTATAACTGTCAACATGCTAAAAGCATGCTATGCCATGAAATACCCCCATTTTAGTTTACATATGATTTTCTTCTCACATCAAGACATAGGCCATTTGCAATGCAGTGGCATTATTATATTTCATTTTTTTAAACGTATTTTTATGATAAAAAGGCAATGATCACTGTGTTCTCAATTTTCCATTACCAGACAGGTAATTTTATTCCTGCATTCAAGCGTTATGTCTCTTCCAGAAGGGTTGAAAAACTGTCATGTTTTTCATTCTTACTAAGTCTGGCGTTTGGAAACTCCAGAATATACTGTAAGTGAAGCTATTATCAATGCAGAAATCAATTCTCTATAGAAACAGACTGAGATCTGGGACAAGCGAAAGAAAGAAGACCTACTGTATGGAAATTAAAATAGCCTCTCAAAAACTCAGCAGTGAAACAGCTCCAATTACATTCCCAGGCAGAAATAGCATAAATGGCTCCTGGCTCAAAAATCATTTCAAGAAGATGTGTTGATTTACATAGCTGATATGGCTGACAAATGGGCACAGGGAGAACACAGCTTTCAACACATAAAAAGGCAGGTGAAGAATTAGATTTGTGCTGGGAGATGCGTAACAGGAGAAAGAGCTCTTCTGAGTGAGCGTGTCCACAAAAGGGATGTGGGTCTGGAATGAGGGCAAGGGCAGCTCTGCCCGAGTCCTAGCCTGAGAGCAGTTCCAAGAAACCTCCGCCGAAAATGATACTTCAAGCAGGATTCGATAAGTTTAGTAATGGGCACCCAGAGGTGATCATAAACTTGCAAAGAAAGTCTGTCACTTAGTTCTGTCTTATCACAGTCTCTATACTAGGTGTTAAGCAATTTCCCATTCCTCTAGCAGATTGAAAAAGCACACTTTGATGTACCTTTTATTAATTTCCCTGGCTTTTAAATTGAACTGTGGATGCCCGCTATAATGTATCAGCCTGTTCATTACAGTTCTTGTCTATTCACGGTTTCTGGAGAATGAATGAAATAGCCTAGAAATTGAAATATGTACAATTGTTAAATTACCCATGAGGACAGGGACATATATGCAGCTTGCTTGCGATTCCAGAGAAAGGTGAAGCTGAATAGATGCCCTGCATTTTTTGAAAGCACACATCCATCCCTACATTTCCAAAAATCCCAAAGAGCATATAATGGCATTTTTAATGCCCTTTTACCACTACTTTTTAGTTTCCTTTTTCCTTCTCTCCTTGATAAGGGTGAAAAGGTGAAAGGTGATGGTAATCAGAGTGATGGTAATCAGACACCATTTCCAACACAGCATCTCCCTCTCTCTGTCACACATACTGTCATTAGTAGACCAAAAGCCGCCACCCCTAACTGCCTCATAAAACCTAGGGATGAGGGGAAGAAGTGCCCACACTTTAGAAATGAAGCCAAGCCCCACATCCATAGACCACATCCTCACAGCACGATAAAGATGGCTCTACGTTTTCTGACTTGGTTTCAAGTCCCAGCCCCAGCACGTACCAGATGTATGGCCTTAGATAAATTGCCCAATCTCCCTAAGCCTGGCTTGTCTTCCTCCCCAAGAGGCTAAATAACCAACATCCACTGCAGGGTTTCTCAACCTCAGCACTAATGACATTGGGGGACAGCTGATGCTTTGTTGTGGGGGCTGTCCTGTGCATCATAGGGTGTTTAGAACCATCCATGGCTTCTAGTCACTTGATTCCAGTAGCATCCCTCCCCACCCCCCCATCGCCCGCCTCACTGTGACAATGAAAATATATCTCCAGACATTGCCAAGTGTCCCCTAGGGGGTGGGGAGTGAGCAACATCACCTTTGGTGGAGAACCATTGTGTTGTTAGGTATTTTGATGAGTGCCAGGCACTTTCCTAAAAGCTCTTCCAGTGTTAATTTATCTATTCGTCCCAACAGAGAGGTGGGAACTATATTATCTGCATTTCCCAGGTGCAGAAACTGGAGCACGGAGAAACTGAGTACCTTTCTGGAAGTTACACAGCTTTAGGGGTTGAGCCTGGACAGCAAGCCCCGAGGCTGTCCTCACCTCGACTTTCTATTACCTACTTTCTATCACAGTGCTAGCCTCATTGAACTACTGGGGACACTCAGGGACTCAAAGACTGTACAGGCTATTGCTGTTGGTGTTGCTACTGTCACCCTCAAGGGCACTGCTCATCCGTTCTGCAAGGCAAGGCTTTCTCCCATGGATTCAGAGCCCCGCAAATGCCCTGCCACACCCCCAGCCTGTGCCTCAGGGGATGGAGGAGGGAGCAACCCTGTTGGACTTCCCTCTCCAGCTGCAAATTCCAACCTCAGGTCAGCCCCACCATCTTGTCATTGTTTGAGTCAAAGATTCAGAGAAGTCAAAAGAAACTTCACATTCAGAAACAGTAAGGAACCTGATATAGAATCAGTGGTTCTCCAATCCGGCTTCTCATGGTAATTACCCAGGGAACTTGACAATAGCAAGTGGTGCCCAGGCCCTCACCCAGAGGTTGGGGTTTAATTGGACCGGGTTTTAGGATTTTTCAAAGCCCTCCAGGTGGTTCTAATGTGCAGCCAAGGTTTGAAACCACTGACCTAAGACATCCTTCCCATAATAACCTTTTGTTCATTGTTTACTAATTATTATAGTTTACTGATTAAATTGGGGTGTTATTTTACGTCACCACAAGATAACAATAACCTAAAATTTACTTGATAAGAATAAGCTATAATCACTGGCGATTGCAAGTGTGCAGAAAGTAATGAATGCAGAAGGGAAGAATTAGAGTTTAGATTTGCTATTTTCATGAATGCCACTGGAGCATGATCCAATTCTAGATGAATAACCCTTGTTCTCTGGATAGACACTCAGCAACAGTGGACTAATGGAGTTTACCAGGCTAAAAAAAAATTAAAATAAAGGCTTTAATGTCTAAGAATAAGGGATTGGCCAAATAAGTAAAGGTCATATTATGAAACACCATGCTTCCCTCACGGTGAGTGTTCAAGGTGAAATAAATATACTGACACAGGAAAATGTTCACAATATGTTATCCAGTGACAAAATTAGGTTAAAAAATAGTATATACACAAACACCTGTATTCTTTCTAAGATAAAAATAGATATCCATAGAAAAATATCTAGAAGGGTGTACCCCAAAATGTTGAGTGGTAATTGCTTAAATGGTGGAATTAAAAATCATTTTTACTTCTTTCTTGCCTCTTGGGGTCTTTATAAGCTTTCTATAATACTTACACATGACTTGTGTAATGAAAAATAGAATTAAAAATAAAAATCCAACTCTCCTGTTCTAATCTCTTGTTCATAAAAGCATCCTTCTGGTCTATAATCTGGCAGATGAAGAGCATCTAACCCCAAACAAAAAGGCTATCCTGGCTCGCTTCAGACCTCTAGCCTCAGGCCAGTTAAAACTCCTATAGTTTCTTAAAGTGAATTCCTGCTGCAGCCAATATCAGTCTTGCTCAAGTCAGTGAACCAGGGTGTAATCTCCATCCTGCACAGTGGGGCCTCTCTGGGAGGCTGCCCTCAGACAGCCAGGTGGCCTTACCTGTCTCCTCACACATGACCCTACGAGGTGGCTTTGTGTGCACTTTCATTGAGAGACCTCACCTCAGCAGCTGTGCTCCTGGTTGGACCATTTGAGGATTCAGGCCACTTCAGCATGAGGTTGATTTTGAGCTAGAGTTGGGCTTTGCTTTCCTGTTAAAGGAAACAGTAAAAACAGCTGAAGACCTAT